TTTATCCAGTATCTTAATCATCCTTCACTAAAGATAATATCTTGTTAAGTATTACCAAAATTATAATTTATTTAAAAAATAAACACAATAAAAGACAATGCAGAAAAATATCGATAAGCGGAAACACGCAAATCGCATCATTTTAATGTCATCGCTACCAGATGGCAGCAATAACTTAATTAAGTTTAAATTTAAAAAAAAAGAGCTAATCGAGTTTATTAATTAAAGATAACGATCGAATTTAAGTAAATGTTCGTTTCTATATGAAATAATCGTAATTAACTTCGAAAATTTAAAGTAAATTTAATATTTGTTGTAATTAATTGGATAATTCAACTCGCACACCAGCAATAAGCGACTTAATGCTTGTGTCTAGTATATAAGACAGTGAAGAAGGAGTTACAGCGTGGAAGGGGTTCGATTTTTCTTAAAAAATAAATAAATAAAAAGAATAAAAGAAAAAATTACATCAAATTCGAACGTAAAATATTCAATTTGAGGAGGCGAATAACTTTCATAAAATGTCGCAAATATCAAGAAAAGGAAAGTTGTAGAAATTTTCAATTTTCCTCGAGTTTCCTTACTTTCCCTGTTGCCAGTGATTTAATATCGACAAAAAAAAAAGAACTTTTCCTCCCCCTTCTCTCTTTTTTCAAAATCTCAAATAATTCAATTTCGGATCGTTATAAGTTTTAAAATGTTTGTTTGTATGGTACCGTTAATATTTATGGATATAGATATTGCAATCTCCTAAAAATAAAAAATAAATAAAATAAAATAAAAAATATATATATATATAAAAGAAATGGCTGTCGCGCTTTCCGGAAAAATTCTGTTATTGGTATATTGGAAAAATAGATTAAAAATTCTTCTAAAATAACCGAATGCTGGAAAATATAATATTGGTAAATTGATGAAAGAAAAAAAAATTGAAACTCTTACGCTGGGTCGGTATAAAAGAAAAAAAAAGTACGGTAAAAATGATATGAAACAAATTGAAAATTTCAACTTTATTCTATAAATCTTAGGTATTTGAATTAAGTAATAAGAGGCTGTCCATAACTTATGGAGATACGGGCGGGCGGTTGATCGTTACCATGCGTTACAAGGGGATGGGGATGTTTACATTATGTTCGTTTAATTAAGGGAGGTCTTTTTAAAGGTAATTGGTCCCTATTCAGGCGTTACACACGTGGATATAACCCGGAAAACAGTGTTTAGGGAACGGAACTGCTCGACCACTGGCAGGCACAAAAACGTTATGTAATGCTAGGTTCTCAACACTTTGGTTTGGTTTATTTATTGACGGCAACACGATATGTCGATCTGCCAACTTTTTAAGGGAGACTGGCCTCTATTTAGGTGTTACAAACGTAAAGAAAACCCGGAAAACTCCACGTGGCAAGCTCGTTGGCCTGGCACGAACCCACGACTAGCGTGGTTCGGTGGTTCTTATCCACTCGACCACTGGTGGGCTCTGTCTCAACTCTTAGAAAGCAGAATGATTCAATTTTATTGGTGCATGCGAACCGTACTTTTTACGTTACTGTTGTTCACATTGTGCTTGTAATTAATATTCGGTTGTATTACTTCTTAGTATAGATAAGGGGGTCGAGGGACGATACGCGTTACGTAATTTTGGGGGTGGGTATACACGGCGATGTTACAAAGCATTACGGGATTAGGATGGTAGTTAAAAGGATAAGTAATTTATGAACGATTCCAAATGTTTGTACGATAATTCTGTGATTTGCGAATGCATTTTCATCTGTAATTTAATAAAAGTAAAACAACTAAAAGATATTTTTCCTAGAATTACCAGTTTAGATTTTAAAACACGACAGAGCTTCCAAGTAAATTCAATAAAATAACGAGAAATTGAAAAATATTTGTAATAAAATCAATTTAAAAATATGTAAACCTTAGCAATATAAGAAATTTTATAGGAGACCTTATAAGAAGGATAAAATTCAAATTTTCTATGAAATTTTCAAATTGAATACTAAATCTATTGGAGTAGAAATAAAATTGGAAATCCTAAATATGATAAATGGAAAAAAAGAATCGAGAATCAGAAATTATTGTATAGTAAACGTGAAAGCAATGGGGAGCATCAAAACGTAAGGAAACCAAGCGGAAAGTTGATTTAGAATCTAAGATGTGGTAACCATTGGCTCGGAAACACAACGGGGAAGCTATAAACAATAATTGCAATATGACAGCATCAACAAAAAAAATACGCTATAATATATAATAATATAGATAATTAAAAAAGTAACAAAGTTATTTGCTACTAGTTCGAGAAGAAGAAGAAAACTTTGAAGAAGGATCCATAAATGAAAACGACAAGAAGAAAGAAATCTGAAGAGAAATAAGTGAGATTGATACAAGTAAACAATTCTGGCTATTTAAAAAAAAAACAGGGGGGAAAGAGCATAAAAAATCATTACCTGTCCTCTTAAGAGAGGCATTTTGTTCTCACCTGGAAAATTCGATGAAGAATAAAGAATTCTTGATTATGTTCAACCATGCATACGATACGTGATTCTTTATTTAATCCAATTATTTTGCCGTTTTCAAATTTATTAAATATTCAAGAAAACTTAATGGTGTCTCTTAAGAGAGAGCAATCTTATGATTTATAAATGAATTCTTCCTTTTATAGACAAAATAATTACCATACGTGAGAAGCAATCTTCACGATTTTCCAAGTAGGAAATTTTGACTTTGGCTAATAAAATTCGTTGTAAGTACTTGATTACGTGTGGATTATGAAATCTCTTGGGATTTTTCATACATTTCACCTGTAATTTCTGTTTTAATTGTGTCTTTTATATCGATCCTAGAACTGAATATGTATCGATTTGCTTCTAACCGGATAAACTACTTTAATTCGATCAAGAATATAAATTTATTGCATATACTTCATCAATTTATTATTAGAAATGAATATTTTATATTATTTACTATACACACCACATTGTGTATAGTAGATACTGTAATACAATATCAAACATTAATGTATTATGAAATCGTAGATTATTATACACAGGACTATTTATAGGATATTTACCAGTTGGAAGTGGGAGAGAAGGCAAAGGCTTAGCCTTTACCCTCCACTATCCAATACCTGATAGTTCATGCAGAGTGCCAGTCAACAAAGCTGGCTTCCTTATCCCCATGCTCTTTCTTTACACTGTTACAATTTTTTAATTCAAAAAAATATATATCCGTTATGTATTACCCATACCCAGTAGCTTCGTCCCTGATTATATATGCTAATTATATATTATCTAGAATTAGTGACAGTAGGTAAATCCAATTACATGAGGACCAACAGGGCAATCTGAAATACACAAATACATATTTTTCAAGCGAAAGGTTTAAAATACAGATGCATTAAAAATAATATTTAGACAATATTTCAAGGAATTTAAGGGTCTAGCCTAGTCTCCTAGTCTATTCTCGGCACGCCACTGCTTCTGAACGATTCTTTTTGATGTCAGCCTGTCTGTATATAATACGACCACTTATATTGATAACTTGGTATAGATTGGATTGTTGGTATACCAGGTAAAGCAACACAATACTTGTATGATCCGTCAAGGAGGAGATGTCTTCTATAAGGTCTTTTTATAGGAAAGTGGACCGTGTTTAGATGTTAGACACGTGAAAAATCCCACTCGTAAACCCACCACTGAATACCAGTGTTCAATGGTTTGATCCGCTCGGCTACGGGTGTGCGTTAATATTTTAATATTATTTTTAGATCTCTCCCGAACTTAAATTTTCTTCCTCTTATTAAACTAATTATAACCTAAATATTTTCCTTCATATATACTTTAACATCGAATCTGTTGGTAGGTGTGCTATGGCAAAAATTTAATGTATTTAGATTTATATAATTGAAGTAATGTTATTGCATTTCTTTGAAAAATGTAAAATGTCTTTTCTATTTAAATTTATCGAATTACTTTTAAAATATGCACTAGTTTTTGTAAAAGGTTCGATACATAAGTATAAATCAGGATCATTGAAAGTCAGAATTTGACAGTTTATAGCGTTATAGAAACATTACAACGATTTTCTTAAAATAATGAAATTTAATGTCCATTTCTTTCGTAATTACATTATTGCATGTTCATTTATTTAGATATGAAAAGAGATGGGACATCAAGAAATTAGATATTCTTGTAAATTTAAATATTCTAGAATATCCTGACTTTCACAAATATCTGATCTGTATATTTTTTAATGTATAAATATACCAATATCTAGAAGATATTAAGCATTACCCAAAATACCAAAGAACCCACTGGTGGCTCAGTGAATAAAATCTCCTGACCACAAGTGGTGGGTTCGCCTCTTCACGAACGAGCTGGCAGTGTTGAGTTTACGGGTTTCTTCAGGTGCCAGCTTCCCATAAAAATCCTCCCGGGAAGTGCCTTCCCCTTGGCAGATTGGCCATGTGTTGCGTTGTCTTAAAGCTCATATCAACAATCCAATCCAAAGTAGAAGACCCTTCCGAAACTACACCTTAACTTTCCTCCAGAGTTCTGGAACGTGACCGAATACTCCAGAGCCAACAGCTGATGCCTCCGTTATGGTACCTCTCCGGAGGAATGGCGTTCCGATTCACATCAGCTTAAAAATTTTCATAGGTGGGTTGACTTGGATATGTGCCACACCCTTTACCAGTTAGCTAGTCACTTTGTAAGTCTGAATTCGGATAGGTTCGCAATAGAAGTAGCATGGACAAGGGGTTCAGTGTGGCATGTATGTAAAGAGCATTAAACAAAATATAAGAACAATATTGAGCACAATATTTGGTTTCGTATAGAAACGGGTATGTGTTAATTATTATAATCAAATGGCGTGCTGATTAAATATGCAAAATACATATAAGTATGAGCCATGAAAAGTTTTAAAAATTCAATTTTATTCTGTATACCCTATAAAATTAACTAGAAACAATTTGAATTCATGTAACATAATCGCGAAGAATGTAGAATATAATGGATATTCCTTAATTAATTTTACAGTTCAGCAATAACATGTTCGGCAACAGCAAATATCCCTTCTATAGTTTCTTCGGCAGTAGGTTTTATAAGAGAGTTTGGTAGCAAAAACCCATATTGTCCTTTATCTCTTAATTCTAATGCAAAAGAGTACTTGATCCCAGCTTTTTCGTATGCCCAATCTGTAGAACTGCCGCTTGCAGGATCTAAAACAATGAAATATCCCATAAATTATTAATAATATACGAATTTTTAGAGAAATTTCTGCTATACTTACATATAGTGTTGGCGATTGCTCCATAACGGTACCATTGACCATGTTTCTGGACTATTGCATTTGCAGCCTTCTGCAAAGCTGTCATCTGTGAGGAAAAGGGATCATTAAGGATCATTAAAAAGCCATTTCAATATTAATAAATGAAAAAATACCTGAGCTAAAAAATCTTTAGTAGTTCCGCGTTTATATCCGTACGGAATCATCCACAACTGAGAGTAAGCATGAACAGTAAAGTAGGCTTTCACGCGGTTTCTCATTGGCATTATAGCATCTCTTACAGCTCTGGATTCGTTTTCTGAAAAAGCTGCGCTTCCTGGATAAATATCACTGCACGGATTGGAGTCAGTTCCCGCTTCTGCAAGTAAAGTTGCATGAAGATCTATGGCAATTCAAGCATGAGCGTTAGAAACAATTACCTACTGCCAAAATCAGCATCGAAATTCCTATTAGGATCCACACCATAACAAGTTTGGAAGAATCTAGAGCCAGAAACGATGCGATTCTTTCTCCACATTCGATTCTTCATAGAAGCAACGAACATTAAAAAGATCATGAAGTACCTCCAAGATCCAAATTAACAGTAAGTAATGCTTCCTTACCCCACTCCAAGTATGTACGTATCCATCGGGATTTAAAACGGGAATAATGTACCAATCGAAAGTGTCTAACAACTTCTTGACTCTGGAATCTGAACTCTTTTTCCATAAATGGTCTATCAAGAATAAAGCAGTAGCGGGTGCAACCCATTCGCGACTATGTATTCCAGCGTCGATCCAAATAACGGGTTTATTATGGTTTCCAGGATTACCTATCTACGTAAAATTTACCATAAGTAATCTTAAATAAATATATAATAATAATAATTAAGAAAAATTTACTTTTAGTCCTTTGATTGGGTTATTTTGAGCACTGTGCCCAATGGTGATCACCGAAGCCATATGCCCATTCAGTTTTGCAAATTCGTCTAAGTACACATTAATCTGTGGGGAAAATATCAAATTTTAAGATTAAATTCAGCTATAAATCATCATATTTTAAAACAATAACGAATCACCTCATCCAATCTATGATACTTCTGTAAATCGAAACGGGAGACATCTTGAATTTGCTCGAATAGATCAGGAGTGTTAGTTGCCTTCTCTTGATCTATCCATCTGTTAATTCAGTAAATTCCTTTTAATATTTTATGAAATATTTTAAAAACAAAGATATTTATACATTACTTTTGTATATTATTAGTAACAACGTAGAAGTCGATGCCATTGTCCTTCAATTTTTCTTCCACTTCATCAGCAATTTCTGGTGTTAACAAAAGATTAACTTTCTCGTACAGGGCTGAAGGAGCATTCCATACATCCACCTGAATTTTAAAAAATTTACACGTTTAACAATTTTAAAACTCTTTAAATAAAAAAAAAACAATTGCAACTCACGTCTGAGTTATTCCGCAACTCCCTCAACACGTCTATTTCTTTCTCGCTACTCGGAAAGGCTCCTATTAGTTTATGCCTAAAATTTTAAGTATTCTCTACATTAAAATTGCTCCCAATTTTCATAATATCATATTTTATTCAATATGCCAAATAAATACAATTCGATCACTTACCCTGTAAAGTTGGCTTCGTTGGTTTGGCATATTATCCCAGGAATACCCAAGAGGAGTAAAAATAGCCGTGGGTTCATACCTGCAAGCATCTATACCTTATTAAATCCAAAATGTATTTTGAAGTCTTCCCCGTTTGGTGGCACTTACCCTTACTCTCTGTGTATTTTGTCCCTTTCACCTACAACGAACTTGACCTTAACTGAGTTGACGAAACGAGTTAGGTTCATGAATTTTCTTTTAAATAAATATTCAGTGACGTCATACAGGGGGGTCATTCCTCTTTTCAGAATGACAATGTTTCTTTTTAAAATTTTCTCACGTACTTAATTATTTCTACATCCTTAAGCATTGATGTTACTTTGCATTTTCTTTAAGATTATCATAAAAAAAAATTTATGTAATATTTATAGAAACCCACTTGTGTTTTTTTTTTTTTCTAGAATCAGAGTGAAATGTCAAGGCATTTTTTAAAAAATAAACAGGTTCTAAATTGCAATTTGGTGCGAAAAATTCGCTTTCATGTCTTCGCTAATCTGACCTGGTCATAATGACCTTGAAGGGTAAACTTTTTAGTACTTTCGGTATTAAAAATGATTACCATTAAAGTCACGAATTATAATATAAATCTACTATTCTACTCTATCATTTTCTATGCAGGGGGGAATCAATACGACTATTTGAGCACAGGGCTGCCAAAAGGTTGGTATGGGGTAAATTCTATGCCTTCCTTGAATCATTACAGCCCTTAAGTTTTCTCCTGGATGGGGAAATTCCCCAACTTACCTTCCCTCGAAGATCCCTCCCTTGATACAGAATACCATGGATTTTGTACCAGGAACTGGAGCCTCTGGCACATTGTTTAGTGTTTTACGTAAAGATGGTGTAAATTGTGATAAATAATGACTTCATTTACAATTTATTTTGGCTTTCAGAGATGGGTGAAGCCCTACATTTTCGATTATCTCGGGTCCTTTCTCACCTTTTCCAATCTTTTCATATATTAATTCTATTTATGTGTTTGATGTTTTGTTCGATCTAAGATATTCCACCATTTTGAAGATCAAATTTATATAAATTTTCCCAGTTCTAGACTTGTCGTGACCCTATTCTATAGTGAACCTAACATATAACAGGCCCTTTTCCACTACTAAATAACGATACGTATAAAAACGCGAGGCCTTAACCTATAGATTCAACGCAAGGTCTAAGCTTCAAGACTAAAACTAAACTTTTTATTTTGTTTAATTAATTGAAAATCAGTTAAACAATCCAGTTTTTAATTCTTTAACCTCTAGTTTCAATTTATAAAGGTTGAAAGTCAAATCCTGTATTTACACAATGGCAAAGACTACTTTCTTTTTCGAATAAATTCCAGTCAAACCAGATCTTAAAACTCACGCGAGGAGGGCAGTCGATGACCCTGACAGACAAACAGAACGTTTAACAGATTGCATCGGAGATAAAAGAAAATTCGTGTAATTTATTATTTAAACTAAGCTTAGTTATTCACCGAATGCACGAAGGTTTAACTAGTTTTATACTACATTTCGGGGTCAAAAACGTAATTGTCCGTTAAGAAATGCTTTTCCTCCCCTTATTATTAAAATAATATATAACAATTTAATGTTTTATTGTTGTTTTCTCTTTAAAATCTGATGGCTTCATCACAGATGATGCGTATGATCGATGATAGATTATCAGGAATAATGCGATTTTAAGAGTAAAAAAAAATAAGCAAATTTGCATAATTTATAAGGTAATTAATTCGGTCTTCGATTTTAATTAATTTATTTAATAAATTTTGCATTTTAATAAGGTAATTTTCCACATTTTCCACATTTTTTTTAATATTATGTAGTTTCAGTTACTAAAGCTGATAACAGATGGCGACAGTATATATTTTTAAATTTCTTGTGTTTAAAGCCTCCTTATTTATAACTTTTGTGTTAAATCTATAAATTTTTATACATAAATATGTATATATTTAGTTTATTTCAGTAATAATTAAATAAGACTTAGAACGACGTAAGTGAAAAAGTTCTATTGTCTCTTGTATCCACCCATGGGTGGAGTAACATTTATTTATTTTTTTCAGTTTTCCTAATTTTATCCCACAGCAGAATATTTAATTACATGAAAAAATCCACTGTCGAAGTATTATTTTTTTATTTTCATTTGGTATAAACAACACGTGGACTTTTCTTTGGAATAGTCCATAAAGGGTGCCACACTTGGAATGGAACAAGATTCACATTGTGTTTTCTACAGTACTATATTATGTCTTTGCTTAATTCTTCTTTTTCGCCCACTGGGGATAAGAGGGCCCGTTTTTAACAAGCCCATCGAAGGATGGTGCCTCTGAGGATGATGCCTCTGAGAATGATGACTTTCTGCGGAAAACTAGCCCGTAGTTATATGTTACAAACGTGAAGAAAACTTCACGTGGCCAACCCCTTGGCGAGACGCGAACCCACGACCAAATTACCAGTGTTCAGTGGCTTTATGCACTAGAACATAACATCTCTCTGTGGCTGCAAACGTTAACAACTGAAAACCCAATTTCATAAAACAATTCGGAGATTATAACTACGTTGACCTCCTCTAAATACGATATTATTTATATCCGAACAGAAGAAAATTTATAAAGCTTAACCTAGATAACTTGGATAATCGATCAATGAAAATTTCCTAAAAGAGGGAATAATAACCTTACCTCGTTTATCAAAAAAAGAAATATTTACCAAACTCAATGTCAGGTAGTCAATTACCATTATCCTTCTGTAAACTCTTTCTTGAATTCTATGCCATGGATGTCTTTATCGAAATGCTTCGGCTCTGTAAAGATATCCACGAATGCGTACGGTATAAACACGGATATTGCTATTGCATTCTTATAGTGCCCACTACTGTATAAAGCCAATCTACATTCTAGTTTTCCGGATTTTCTTCACCGAAACACCGGCCAGTTTCCCACAGAAATCCTCCAGGGAAGCGCAGCAGTGTGGCACCCCCTTTGGCAGATCGCCCGCGCGATGCACGGAGATCTGCCACTTTTATTACTTAAACTTAGACTAATACAGGGCCTATTTATAAGTCTACGCAATTGTTTGTTAGCGAATCTATTTTCTGCCCTTTGGACACAGAAGAGGAACAGTTGAAGGGCCCTCAATATACCATTTTTACGTAGGAATTTCACATAGAAATGAAATCCTTATGTACTTAATTATTTTTAAAGTGGAATTTAAAGAATTTTTTTTAAAGGATATTTTCAAAAATAACAATTCTAGGAAAACAAAATACTTTTAACGAGCAAACGAATTTTAAATTGATTTTATATTAAATGAAAATATTCCTATAATTACGCAATTTCGTTGTATTTTCCCCTATTCACACACCATTTACTGTGATAAAAGAAAGAAAACACTTATTTCACTTTGTATTTTCATTTTCCAAAAAAAAGGGGGAGGGGGAATTAATCAGCAGATAATCCTTATCAACAGATGAAGATTTTCCCTTTCTAGGTTTATAATAATGAATTTTTATTTAACAAACCTACATTTTTTAAGGTTAAGCATTCGTATTTTTAAGTGTCCGTACCCTAAAAACTTTGAAAACTACTAGACCGATCCGGGTTACATTTTGGCAATGAGTTTTCTAAAGGATACCGTGGACATCGTCAGGATTATTATAACGTGACCGTGATTCTTCCATGTGGAAAATTACTCGTTTTCCATCCTTTATCATATACATTGAACGGGATGGTACGTCACAATCGTCACTGCTACTCCAATAAAGGTGCCAATCACCATTGATGCGGTATTTAGTAATGTTTTCTCGTGGTTAACTGCCCAATTATACGGCACTATTATGGGAAGTGATACGATTCTATTGTTTTGTAACGCTTTAATGGTTTATGTTTGATCTTGGAAACGTGTTAAGACATTAACAAATTTGATTTCAATGCCGTTAATGAGCCTAAGAAAACTTCCTTTCTAAAGCCAATGATGGATGCAATTAGGTTTTATTCTACCTCCTGAGGGATTCTGAGTGATTCCGGGTGAGCAACCTCAGAAAATGCTTCTCACCACACTCCCATCTTCCATGTGGACCTGGCCGAATACACAATTGGTATGATTAAAACAGGTCTTTTTAGTATCCTCCCTGGTTCCACCACTTCACCTTCTGGATCCTTTACCATAAAAGTACCCCTTTGGCTACTTCTGCATCCATCATTGATGATGTCCATCCTTTACAGATGCTACCATTACCTCATGAATGAGGGGTCAAATTAATATCATTTCCTTAATTTTCGCATGGTTAACTACCTGATTACTTAACAATTCTATGGCACGAATATAGGAAGCGTAGGTATTATACAATTCTATTGTTTCAGAAGATTTGGCTGTTTTGTGCCTGACCTTGGCATCGTGACTTTAATAAATATTAGGTTAATGCTTCCATTTTGATGTTTTATTGTTATTAAATATAAACGTTCTAATCATATCTGTGAATTTTTAAAGGTATTTCTTTTGATTTAGGTCATTTAATACACCCACTAGCTATTCGCAAATATCCTAATTAATTAATGTCCCTACTCATCACAAATATCCCTAATTAAATATTAATTAGGGATATTTGTATTAAAACTGATATTAATTGGGGAATTTAGGGAATTCTGGGGTATTAATTGGGGAAATTTATGCAGAAAAAAAACACTTAAAATTCACTTTTAGAGAGAGTTTTTACGTGTTTAAAAGTATTTTTAATGAGTTTAAATATATTTTATGAGAATTTGATGAGAGTTTTAATGGCATTAAATGTTTTAAGAACCTTCTAATTTCATTTCTTCAGAACTTCGGGGATATTTTTGCAGTAATTTCGCTTAATAGTAAATAATTATCCCTCGTTTACTGTAGAAATAACCTGTAATGTCCTAATTAATCCTTCCTAAATAATTATAAAAATATCCTTAAACATTACCTGAAAATACCTAATAAACACTTTATAAATTCCTTAATTAATATCTGGATTAATGTTCCTACTTATTTCAAATTTCCCTAATTAATACTAAGTAGGGATATTAGCATTAAATAAGGATATTAATAAATATATATGTGTGTGAATAATAAGTGTATTAAATCCTTCCTTATTTAATCTACTAAATTGCTTTAAAATATTCGTAAATTTCCCGAATTACGTTAATTAATTCCCCAAATTTTCCCTAATTCACCCCTAAATGAAATGCTTCTTCCATTTTACTGCATTTTATATATTGTGGGTCATTTAGGGATTTAATAGGGAATTTTAATAATGTTTTGGCGCAATTCACGTCGTATTTAAGGTTTAGTCGGACAGTTTAGGGGCTTTAATTGTAATAACTTTATGCTTTGTGATTATTTTAATCACCCATCAAGTGTAAAAAAGAACTGAAATTTCCCTAACGAAATCGAAATAAATTGATTAATTTCAGTTTCTTTTAAAATTTAGTTTAACGAACTTTTAGGGAAAACTAACAAATTTATTAAGAAAATAAGGCATTGTTAATAGTAAAATGGACCCTGTCAACAGCCTTTCCAGTGAAAATGTATGCACTTAAGTTACGTTATATTATTAATGCTTCGTTATTAGAATAATTTATCGATATTTGGCCCTCAAACTACCTTTAAAATCCTTAAAATTTACCCAAAAATCCCTATAAAATCCATAAATCCAGCTTAAATGCCTCATTTTCTTAATTTTAATAAGTTTTAAATCTCAGAAGGACTGGCATTTCCCTATGAACCTTGTCAATTATTAAATCAGTACATTAAATGACAATTTATAGGAAAAATTAACAAATTTACTAAGATAATAAGGAAAATTATCGTTAGTAAAATCGATATTATCACTCTTTTGAAGCTAAATTTCACGGTCTTCATGCAGTTACATTGGTAATTCGATTTAATTTATTAATTTTCGGCACTCTAAACACCTGTAAAAACCCTTAAAAGTTCTATAAAAGACCCTTGTTAATTTTCGGCTTTAAAAACACACACATAAAACCCTTAAAATTAGTTTTTAGCACGTAAAAAAACCCCGAAAAAACCCCTATAAGTATGAAAATCGAGCTGAAACGAACTACTTTCTTGCATTCGAAACACCATTAAGTGTAAGAAAAAAAGGGGCGAAATTATTTTAAAAGTTTATTATATGAAAAATAGCAAAATTTGTAGGGAAAATTAACAAATTTATTAAGATAACGAAGCATTGTCGATAGTAAAAACCATGATCGTTAACAATAATCTCTCCATTTTATCAGCAGATAGGGAAGATGTTAAAAGTTTTTCGACTGTCCTTTTGTAGACGACAAAAAGTCCCATTCAAAAGTTTTAAAAATGGGAAGAAATTAGGAAATCAGGAAATTTTGGTCAGGTGTAAGGTAATGAAGAAGAACCGATTCTTTCCGCTCTGATTACCATCCAACCATGTCAATGCGAGAAAAATAGGATGTTCGGAGATAAGAGGAAGGTTTTTTCAACGATGGGAGAGTAACAGAAGCATGTCTACTACCAGATAAGATACTGTATTCTTCCCTCGTATAAATAACCTTATGACAATTTCTGTTTCGGTAGTGAAGGCAGACGTCCCTACAGCATGCGCTTCTTCATACTACTAGCATTTTTAGTGGGGTGGGCTATCCCCCAAGACGAAACTCCCGTCGATTATTCGGGGTAAGATCGTGTATTTACGTAAACTCTATGGTAATTTCCTCTTTGCCTACCCCTTAGACGCTTAAATTCCTGTTTACATACCTATTTCTATGGATTTATGGCTATTTTTCTATCTATAACTAAAGTTTTTACGAATATTTAACCGTTTGTTTGTCTGTCTGACCCAACGCGAGTCAGAAACTTTTAGAGTGCAGAAGGGAAACAATATCTCTCTTACTGTCTAAGACTTTACTCCGGTAAAATCCCCAGATGGGAGTTGAAAATGTTGCCTTTTCCCCTACAAATCTGTACGTGTTTATCACAGATGCAATACCCCATTTTCTCTTGGGTATTGACCTTGTTCCTTTGTACAACTGCATATATTATGATGAATTTCCCCACTTCTATGGTTTAATCTACATTTTCTCGTGTAGATTAAACCCTTTGCATAATATCTCGATGGTAATTATTTGTCTATTGTCAATTCTCCTGGAGTGGTGTACCCCTATTTGTGATATTTGCATGAAGACCTACGTAAATAATATAGTTTTTTCTCCCATATTTCTTTAATTTTCAGGCATAAAGTGATAACCGTCACCCCAAACGACGAAGAAGAATTGGAATTTCTTAGAAGTTTAGGAATGCGATTTTTGGTATGACATTATTTACCAATTTCTTTACGTAAACTGCGGTTTATACGCTGCAATTTTTTTCTCTATAGCTGGATTTCTGGACAGATCCTAGAACAATTAAAGTGCCAATCATGATTAGAATTTCACCGGAATACATAGACGATGTGGAGGAAGCATTAAAAGAAGCAGGGATGACCTTTAAAGTGTCAATTTTGGATTTGCAAAGGTGAGATTTCGGGTGGAATTACATGTAATTTAGATCACACGCTTCGTTGATCTAGCTTACTTTTTCTGTTTTGTGCGACTTTGAACGAGCCACATGCATTGTATACCCTAGAAAATTTGGGTATAACTAATTTTATTTGTTTATTTTTTTTTTAATTAGAGCTATTGAAGCAGAGAGAGTAGCAAATGCACCTACTCCAGAAATCGACAAGAGGGCATCCGCTGAGCATTTCCAGAGATATCTTCAGATAGAAGAAGTAAGTTTCTTGCTTTTTCACTAAAAAAAACCCCTTAAAATAACCTTAAAATAATTAAATTCTGTTCTAGATAAACCAATTTCTCCAATCTGTAGCTAGTAGTTATCCATCGATAAGTTCCGTCATCACTATTGGTGCCACCTTTGAAAATAGAAAAATTATGGGTGTTAAGGCGAGTTTTTCTCCAATTTTTGCTGATTTCTTGTACTTTTTTTCTTTTTTTTTTTTAGCAATTTTAACCCATTTTTTATATTCGAAAACGTAGATCGGGTCTGATAATTCCGGAACCAAACCAGCAATACTGATAGAATGTGGTATACATGCAAGAGAATGGGTTTCAGTTTCAAGTTGCCTTTACAACATTCACGAGGTTCCTTACACTCTAAATTCATGTTAATTAACTAATTTATTCTTCAAAATTAACTAATTGACTTTTAACCCCACTTAGTTGACCAGTAAATATGCCACAGACAGCACAATCAAAAGCCTTGTGGATGATCATATATGGTACATCATTCCCTCAAGTAATCCTGATGGCTACGTTTACACTTGGACTATGGTAAAAATGCTCGAATATCTGCCATATTTGTTTTAAATCTATGATATTAAAGTATGTTTTATCATTAGGATCGTATGTGGAGGAAAACCAGATCAAGGAGCATTAAATTTGTACCGCCATGGTGCAGAGGAGCCGATGCAAACCGAAATTTTGACATTTCCCATTGTGGTATGTATCTTCTACCGCTGCTTTCTCGTTGCAAATCCTTTTCTAAAGAATTCTTTCACAGGTCCTGGCACAAGTACCAATCCTTGTGAAGACATATACTGTGGGGACAGCCCATTTTCTGAAAATGAGAGCCGTGCCTTAAGAGATCTTATAAATCAAATAGGAGGAAGTCGCATTAAAGTATACTTTGCAGTCCACAGTTATTCGCAGTTATGGATGTATCCTTATGGGCATAAGAGAGTTTTGCCACCAAATCACGAAGAATTGGTAAGTTAAACAGGTTTTATTCCTTAAACTTTTATACCGCGTGGGCACTGAGAGGTCCTCTCTTCTATATCCATCGTGGTCAAATCTACAATGGGTATAGAACAAAGGCCCTTAATGAGGAAGTCGCGTGGTGAGGAACGGACCACCCACAAAAAAACTCCTGGGGACTCGCCTGAATTCGATACTGGGTTCCTCAGAGTGAAAGACTGATGTCTTAAGGTCTGTTAAGATGTAATTATATTCATCTCAACAGAATAATATAAAACTTTTACTTCAACTTAACGTCATTCTTCTGTTTTTCTTATGAGAAACAACAGATCGTGACTTCAATTTGACGTAAAATCGTACACTATTCTGACGAAACCAACGCACCTTTTCTTCTATTTACTAGTTTGAAACCTTAAATATTTTATACTTTGAGCATTTAACCCAAAAATGGGCTAAACAAAGCTTAATTTTTAGGATCGACTATGCAAAATTGGAACCGATGCCTTACGTAAAGTCCATGGAACAAATTTTAAGTGTGGAAGCATTTCAAATATCATCTGTAAGTACAACTGCTTGCTTTAACAATTATTAAACCCTGAAACAATATCACACGAGGTATAATTTTGTATTTAGATCCAGCAGCAGGAAGTTCTTTAGATTGGGCATACGAAAAAGCGGGAGTCAAAATAGGATTTGCATTGGAATTAAGAGACGAAGGACGACATGGATTCATGCTACCCAAAGATCAAATCATACCAACTTGTGAGGAGACATTCAAGGGGATAGAAGCTACAGTTTTGGCCATTCAATAAATAAATAACATATTTTATCATCAAATAGTTTGTTTTGTTATTGGTTTATTCAAGGCAAGAGCCGGTTACGCTCACGAACTTAACCCAACAACACAAAAACCACTCAACATATTAATGTCATTTTAGTACCAAAAATTCGCCATATTGGTATGTTAAAGGTTGGTAATTAAATTTCATAATGACTCAATACGGGAAGCAGAAGTTACTAACATTTCCATTATTCGCCGCCATTGCTTTAAATGTTATACACGATAGCGTATTGTGACGCGTGAACATCTTCGCTTAAAAATGGCCAAACATCTGGTTAAAATATAATTATTCATGTAAGTAAAGTAAAACTTCAATAGATTTTTAATAACAAGATATAATTATGGAGGCTGCCAGTTTTATTCCAAAACAAAGAAATTAATATGGTGGCTACTATGATATCATTATGGTCAAGGTGGCATCCTACCGTTCTGGGTCGAATCCGGATGGGTCGAAAATTCCCCAGGAATTTTACGGGGGTATTCCGACCCCCGTATGTCGGCCCCTGTCCCTCCATTGTGGGCCTGATCGAACCCATAATTGGCTTGCTTAAAAGAGGCCTTCTTAGTGCCCATATGGCAGAAAGACTTATTGAAATATCAACCGTCACAATACTTACCGTATTTTAAAGGTAAATAAGTCCTTGCTACACGAGGATAATTTAAAACACTTGAATACATTGAAGTCTCATTTATTAACAGTTTATATTCAAAATATAAGGAAATAATTTTCTGGATTTTTAATAATATTAAATATAAATCTACGTTACTTTGAATACAAGCTATAAAGAGAAATATATTAGCTAATTTATATACTTCATAACAGGTGTGAGAGAAAGACATCCGCTAATAATAACTATTTTAACATAGATTATAAAGAGACAGATGGTACTTCCTATGTTAAAGAAAGTCGGCGGCCCGACCAATCAACGAAAGGACTACCAATTCAGAAGTTAATGGCGTCGAGATCGCTTTGCGTCATTAGACGTCACGACACAAATCACCGATGACGTTGCCATTTTAAATTTTATTTCGGTGCGCATGCGGGAAAGATACTAAAAATTAGTAGTGGCTTTCCCCTTTACATCATACTTTTCCTTTAACCGGTCATCTATTAACTGCTTTCAGGGGAAAGTTTTGAATTGAAATAACGTAACTTCTGGTTTGCATTGGAAGTTCTTACATAGTTAATTGGGGCTTCCTGCTCTTAAGCTTTCTATATCTGGTCTCAGCTTTCATCTATCTAACTCCGGATTAAAGAAGGACGGACAGACAGACGGACGACAGTGAGAATTTATAGGTCTACAACTTTTTCAAATCGCAGACCAATTATGATATTTAAGACTAGGACCTTTTTCATCATACCCATCGTTGGTTCGGCCAGGTGATAAAGGCAGGAACTCAAATATCCGAGACAGATGCCCATGAAATATTTTTGAAACGTTGTTCGCCCAAAAATATCCGAAAATATCCACGTGACCAGTCCGTTGGTCAGGCCAGCACCCTTATAGAAAGGCTTCCCAACTGATGTTACTACCAAATCTGGTAACAAATAATGGATGATGGTCACAGTAAATTGATTGGTGCAATTGCTGTGATTATAATAGTGTCATCGTATTCCCACTATTCATATATTGCAAATAACTTGTCGGTTCATATTTTTACACAAGACTGAAGTAAAATAATGTTATGAAATTGTTATGCTGTTGCTATGAGGTCAAAGGTCGTGTTTTTTTCTAAGATATGTTAAGTTAAACAAAATAGTTTTGTGTTCAGTATAATGTACATAAAACTTTGATATCCGAGTCCCGTCTTTCACCAGGCCTTCAATGAGAGAGCCGAGTGCCTCATTGTAAACCTTGCTGAACACATAATGGACTTGCTAGAAAAGGTCGTCTTAGTGCCCAAATGGGAAAAGAATTTGCAAAAGACGCAGGAGATGGTGAAGCACGTGAATATATATTATTCTATGACGTTTAGGTAAAAAAACTAAGCTTAAAAAATGTCATTTGCATGGAAAACCGATATACGAGACTGCCATTTGCCTGGAAAATCGAAACTTGAAGTCTGCCATTTGCCTGGTAAAGCCAAAATTTATATCCTTGTACAATTGCTTAGAAGAATAAAACTTCAAATATTATCTCATCAAACAATTACATAGTATAACATTGTTTTTACTTCGTAAATGTCTCAATGCCGAGTCGTAAAACCGGCACTTGAACGGAAAACGAGGACTTTGCATACATTCATCCTAGGAAACATTTGAATACAGTCGAGAGATACATTTTACTAACAGGCCGATTTACCTAGGTAGACGGCGACTCCAGTCGGAGAAAAAGCGGACTAACGCTATAATCTCCATATAAACCCGGAGGAGAAGAAGAAGAGGAGGAAGACTTTGCATTCCGCCATTCGTAAGAAAATATAAAAAATCGAGAAAATCCATACGTTTTCGATTATTCCTACTTANAAACACCATCTATAGGTGCTGAATCCATAACAGACTATAATCAAGTAATACCCCAAAAGTACTGATGATATGTCTGCACATAAAGCAGGAGTTGAGTTGAATTTTATTATAAAATAATAGTAATGTATTATTTTTCTAAATCTAGGAAATTATGATGGATCATTCTTTGCGTACTATTTCATACATAGCCGACATCGGCGATCTCGTAGTTCTTATGGCAAGACGTAGAATATTAAATAACCCAGAAGAACTGGGAGATTCAAAGTTGAAACGCATGCCAAAAATGATCTGTCATGTATTTGAATCAGATGAGGTATGAGAAAAAGTTAAATTCTTCATATAAAAAAAATACATTTATATATAATTAATGATAGTATTAATTTTTATGAAAATTTTTAAACCTGTGATTTTCTTTTTTGCTTGTTATTACTAAACATTAAAATAATGTTTTCATCTTCAGGAGTGAGTCTACTCTATTTTTAGTTAAATATAATTTCCAAATGATGAACGTTAATTAAAATATTGAGCAGTTTGGACCAGATGTAGGAATTAAGCTGCCATCTTGTGTTAAATTTAATAATTTGGCATAAATTAAAATAGAACATTCTACATATGATTTAGAATATTGGAAGAAAATATTGGTCTAGAGTGGGACTCAAACCTACATTTGTTCTAAGCAGATCAAATGTAGGTTTGAGTCCCATCAAATTCTCTCTGCTTGTATCAGAGAAGCAATCAAAGATTGCTTCTCTGATACAAGCAGAGAGAAGACAGAGATCCAGGTAGCATATTATTATTATACAAATGGGGCCAAGAAACCAAATATACTTCAACCTAAAAGGTTCTTTATACACACCATGATAGATTATTTCAGAAGTCTAATCTCTTTCAGAAAAAAAAAGCCAGCAGACTTCTGGAATAAAGCTGAGGGATGTCACCAGGATTAAAAAAAAAAAACAGATGAACAAATCCGCCTGAGCAATGATCTGCACATTCACAAATAAAATTCAAAGGAGTTGCCCCAGTGGATCTGCAAAATGCTGAAGAGTTAGTTGGCACAAATGGTTGTGACTGGTTTTTGGTCACTTTCATATCATCAACCAAAAAGCAAATATGAGTCTTGTTGAAAGCCAAGAAATTCTTAGTTCACCCAAAGTGCAGGCTAGGCAAAACTGTCTTACTCTGCTTTAAACCAGGAGTTAATCTTCACTGTATTGAATAATTAGAGTTAAATCAGTCTTTTAATACTTTTTCTAGAGCAGTTAAAGAAATACTAAGAGCTGGAGCTCCCTGTTTAGCCGGTAGTTCAGCACTTACGTTTGTAGCATTGTCTTTTGTCCTGACACATATGAGAAGAAAATTCTATTAAAGGTAGCCAACTCATTAACATGAAAATAGCACTCCCAAACAAATGCTGAAATAATCTGAGAAAGATTGAGGTGTCTTTAAGGCAGCCTGACTGTCAGAAACAATGTAGATAGTCCTTTTAATTAATAAGTCTATTATTTAAAATAGTATCGACACACCAAGTAATAACTAGCAACTCTGTTTGAAACCACAATAGGGAACTTACCCAGTGGAACAAGGCATCCTTGTCTGACCATCCCCCCCCAACTATCATTTGTGCTGCCACCAGTTTTGAATCTGTCTGAAAACTAATCTATATCCTGTGGACAAAAGGTCACTCTACCCATATTCTAGTCAAGGTGAGTGGGAAAGGAGACCAGATAAAGCCTGTTAAACATAGGCAACTAAGGCAACATTTTGTCAGAACCTATTAGAAAAATGGCTTTAGAGGAATGTGATAAAGGAAGACAAATGTCCAACAGTACTTGTTCTAGAAATGAATTGACCAGTACACTTGAACCTATAGACCAGTGTTTCCCAATCCATGTGCTGCAACACACGTGTCATGGAAATATTCAAAATTCTAAAAAAATATTTAATAAAATTAAATTTTAAAAAAGAGCAAAAACAAAAAAACGTAAAATGATAATTATAATGCAGATGTCGCTTTCATCCGCAATGGCCAATTCGCGAAGAACGAAGTGGGGAAGGCTTCGATAATCAAAAGTTATGAGCGATTTTGACGTTTTTATCGACCATTCACACTTTTCATTTAAGGTTATTTCGGTAAGTGATCTTATAGACTATTTTTTACGACATAATTTATTATTTTTTATACCGATTTCGTCCGGTTTTTGCCGTTCGAAAATGCGATGTTAGGGGTAAAAGTTTGATGTCGTTTGGTTCGTTTGGTCTTTTGTTCGTCTGTTTTTTTTCTCGTTTTCTCGTTTATTTACTAAAATCCAGCTTATAATTGGCGGTAAAATCGATTTTTTTAACGTTTTACGCTGAAATTTCTCCCTAATTAATGCATTTATCGAGTTTTAATTAAAAAAAATGCCGAGCATCCCATCTACCGATGTCTATGATTACGTCGCTTCTTACGTCACGTTGACGTTTGTTTGTTTGTTGTGATCCAGTAAATGACCCGATGCCGCTTATTGGGCTTCCTTTATTGCCAATATTGATTTGCTTTTGTGTAATTGCTTCGTCTCTTGAATAATTCATGGTGTGAAGGGTTGAATCTGTCAACTCGTCGCGGATTCCAATACTAATACAAGGTTCTGTTGTTGTGGTGATGTTGAAATTTTGATACGGAGTCAACTTTGTCATTGACACCGACTTCTGTTGCTATTGTTATTTGTAATGAGAGTATGCGTTGTTTTCGACGTTTTGCCTGCTCGAGAGCGATTTTGCGTAATGATCAAATGGACCGTTGTGTGGCCGGACGGTTCCGTTCTCCAAATGCTGGGAGTTCGGTCATGGGTTTGCTCCTTGCTGGGACGGGCTGGAGTTTTTGCTGCATCCGTAATGCCTGAATAGTGGCCGGTTACTCTTAAAAAGACCTCCTGGAAGGCAGATTGCCCAAGTGTTGCTTTGCCTTAACTAAACAAACCTAGTCGTGTTGACCTGATGACGGCCGGCTTATCGAGTATTTCGGTTTCATGTTTGCGGGCGAGTTTATACGATTACGCCTTCGAACGAGACAGTTGGAACTTTATTAGAGATGTGGAATGTACCCGTAGGATGTACCATACTTGGTCTTATATAGTTTTAAGGGGTGTGGAGACTTGTCTCGTGTGGGTGCCGAGGTGCAGGCCAAAGATTATGTGCAGAGCGTGGAGAATAGATGGTATACTGTTTGATGGTAAAAACTGACCTTTGGTGGTGAATATCTCACAAAAGGTCACGTGTGCACGTATAGTTCTGTCGACGTTTTTGCTCGTATGGAGGGGATCTATAACTCTGGTGTGGAAAATCCCTCATTTAAAGTTTACATCTTATCCAAGATTCTGTTGTTGTGATGAAGTTAAATTTTGATATGGAGTCAAGTTCAACATTAGCAACAAACTTTTGTTGCTATTGTTATTTGTAATGTTGACAATAGTTGTTAAAACTTTCAAAAACTTCTAAATGTTACTTTTTTCCTATCAGTTTTATTATTTAGCATTAAAAATAAATAAACCAATATCCAAATATTCAGTTTGAGTAGTTGAATTTATTAAAAATAAATACAATAAACAAAAGCGAGTTGCCAAAATGTCTAAAAATTTTACTTTTCGAGGCTATTTTGACAATTAAATCCAGTACTTTACAATTGTTTCGGGATCAGTGTGTTGTAAAAACAAGAATGCTTTAAATCTAAATTGGTAATGTGTATCATAGTTTGATAAATACCAGTTATGATTTGGTGATGGTTTAAATCATTCATTACTAAAAATAAATGATTTTTTTCTGTTTAAATTACATTTACAAAAGTATCACTAATGCATAAGCTACAATTGTGGACCGTAATTTGGAATATTGGCCTCTCGCCAAATCCTTTAATCGGTTACATTTTACAAAATGATTGGCTAATGAGAGAATATTTTAAAATTTTCACTGCATCACTATTTGTGCAAAATGCTCTTGGGTGATAAACTAAACCTCAAAAGAAAGAAGGTATAAAGGTTACAAAATCTCTCAAGACTGTGACACTAAAAATTCATAAAATGACTTTTGTTCCAAATACTTTTTAAACTAGAATTATAACATTGTTGTTGTGTTCTGATTTTAGAAAAAACTTCATCCTTCAAAGTAAAAAGCATTATGTTTAACATCTTGCATCTGTGGTTTTTCTTCCAATACACTTGTGTTAGTATACAAAATTAAGTGACAAACTGATTGACCTTCTGTATGTTTCCAGCAATGGCAGCATTGTATAAGAAATTGCAAGCATTTCCAGCCATGTTGAGGGACTGGCACCAAGCTTCTATAGAACACTTTATTTGTTTTAGCTGAACTTATGAAATTTTGGAATGATTTTTAAAAATCAAAGGTCTGGAACCAAAATCTTTAAAAACAAACAGTGATTTTTTTTTTTATTCAAATTATTATCAAAAATTTAAAAACAAAATTTGTTTAAACGCCCCACAATAATTTATAAAACAGATGGTTGCATAACTATGATATAGACCAGTGTTCCACAAGCTTTTTCTATTCGTGGCACAGCCATGACTCGACATGTCTCAACACGGCACACCAAAATGTTATTCCCCTCAAAAACGTATGATATGATACTATTAATAGAATTACATAATGCCACTAAGCTATTATTATTATTAAACAGACATCAACACCCGTGAGCAAATTTATTTTACATTTAATTTCTTAAAATACATAAAAATGTGTGGCTTGTAATAAAGAATAAATGAACATCATCTTATTTCATAAGTGCTGCGGCACTTATGAGATAACACTTGAAATACAAGCACAGGAAGCACAGCAACTGTGATAAAAATATATAAATAAAGCTTGAAATTAATAGAATATGTAAAAGTTCACATCACACCTTACACCTTGTGACGGCACACCAGTGTGCCGCGAACACTGATATAGACAATTTTGCGGAACACTGATATAGACAATTTGTTACATGAATACATGATTTAATGAATAATTTTCAAGTGTTGGAAATTGTTTCTGCCTCTTTCCTATTTATATGTATCCTTTGTCATGAGTTTTTATATATCTCCTGTGTTTCTAAATTCAGTTTATTGGTGTCCAGAGTTTTTAATTAATTTGACATTGTCCCATCATGCCAGCACACTGAGCTCTATTGCATATTGGACCAGAGTTGTCATTACTCTATTATTTGTAATGTCATAGTTATGTTCTGCCAACCTTTGTGTCCAAACCCTGTTAGTGGATTCTATGTACTATATTTACTTGCTTATAAAACATGGTTTTTATTCATTTTTAACTGCTTCATAAACCTAGGTCGTCCTATATGCGCGAGTGAAGGTTCCTTGTGTTTTTGCAATAATTTTTGTGAACTGTGTATTCCTGTTTTTTATCGGATGCTGGTGTTTAAAAACAAATTTGTTCTATCTGGGTCGTTTTAATCATTCTTATGTATTGTCAGGAGTAAAGATGAATAGCAATAGAAAAAGCAAAGCTTTTGAATTGAATTCCGAATTGAAATTCCAAAATCACAGATGTACTCGCTACAAGTTTAAAATGCCAGTAATTTTTGTGGGACAATGTGTGCATTCACGAGCATTTGATATTTTTTAATTGTGATTAAATGAAATAAAATTAGAATTGTATTAATGAATCTAATTTTCTTTATTTGGATCTTTAAAGTCGCACCTCGTCTTACATGCGAGTAAATACGGTATGTGAGATTATTAAATCTGTTATCATATAGTGTTATGGTGTGTCAAACTCAATTTAAACAACAGGCCATTTAATGCAACTGGTATGATTCATGCTGGCCACATCACATTTACAAATTTTCTTAAAATTATATTTTGAAGTAAGGATGCAGAATTATATATAGGGCAATTAAAACACATTATATAGTTCAGTGAATTCAACTCAACAATATATAATTGCTATAGTATTGCTTTTATTTAAGCATATATTTTATTTAATGTACATATTTATATTAGGTTGTTCGGAAAGTAAGTTTGTTGTTTTTTACCACTAGACGGATTAGTCGTATTTTTTCCGCCATTTTCATTCTAAACCGTATTATTGTTATATATTTTGACAGCTAGCATTTTAAGGCTTATTTGTAAAAAATTTTGTTTGATTCTGTGCAATTGTTTATTTTTTGTGTCCCATCAAATATGGAAGATCGAAAGCAGCATTTTCGGCATATTTTGCTTTTTTATTACCAAAAAATCAAAATGCTGTTCAAGCAAGAAAAAAATTGGGGTAAATGTTTGGAGATGACGTGTTGAGAGAAAGACATTGCCAAAACTGGTTTACAAAATTTCGTTCTGGCAATTTCAATATTGAAGATGCACCATGTTCTGGATGGCCAGTTGAAGCCAATGAAAACAAAATAAAAGTGCTGATTGAAGCAAACTGCCGAATAACAACACGTGAAATCACTAAGAGATTAAATTTGTCAAATTGAAATGTTTATGATTACTTGAAACAAATTGGTTTCATTTCAAAGCTTGATATATGGATTCCACATGTTCTTAAAGAGAGATGCTCTCTTTAGTGGGATTTTAAGGAAATTTTTTTTGGAGCTTTTACCAGAAAATTTAACAATTGATTCGAAAGTGTACTGTTGTCGAGTAAACAAATTGAGTAATATTATCAAACAGAAAAGGCGGCCAGAATTGATCAACAAAACAGGTGTAGTGTTTTACCACGATAATGTCAAATTTCACACAAGTTTGGTAACTCGTCAGAAACTGTTATAACTTAGATGGGACTTGCTATCACACCAACCATATTCGCCAGATCGAGCACACTCAGATTATTACTTGTTCCGGTCTATACAAATTTTTGTTAACTGTAAGACATTTACTTGAAATGACAATGTCAAAAATCACTTGGATCAGTTTTATGTAAGTAACGATAAAAACTTTTATGAATGTGAAATCATGCTACTACCAGAAACGATGATAACAGGTATTTGACCAAAATGATTCAGTAAAATATTTATTTATTATAAAAATATTGTTTTTTTTTTGACAGAAAAAACGAACTTACTTTCCGAACAACCCAATAAAAGTAAAATTAATTGTTTTTACTGGAAACTTGCCAGTACTTTATTCCTCCTCCTA